AAATTGTCCGAGATAACTTCTCCAACCAACTCCTGTGCCAGTGGTCCGTTCGACGGGGTTTGAAGCTTGATTAGCGGTCGCGACAGCGGAGGATACGTGGGAATAAAAGAGGAAACCGCGGTCGGAAGACGAACGGAGGAACAGAGTCGAGCGTGGAACTGCGTGGTAGAAGAAGAGAAAAAAAATCGAATGAGAAATAGAAGGGAAGCTAGGCGAAACGGTGGAATCGAGAGAAACTGGAAAGACGAGGGCAAAGTACATAGAAAGAGGATGCGCGGTGGGAGAAAGAGAAGAGTGAAATGGGGAGGGGGGTGGAAAGTGCGAAGAGGCAGCGGGGCCAGATCCCTCGGGACTCGGTGCTCTCCTCTGGCGCTGCCAGCACTCGGGAACGGGCGAGAGGAGGGAAGAGGAGAGAAGGGAAGAGGGAGAACTAATCAGCTCGACGCATGCGCACTGGGCTGCTCTGCTGGTCCCTCGGGATTCCCCTGGCATTCCCCATAATATACCCTCTCGCCCAACTCCCCTCGCGTGTTCCCCTCTCCTCTCCTCTCCTCTTCATCCTACTCCTCCTCCTCATCGTCCCTCGACGCCCTCTTCACCTCCGCGTCCTCTTGCTCCTCTTGGTTTCTACGTCGCGGCTCTACTAGCTACAGGACTTTCCACGTTCCCACGGGGAAACTGGCTTCTCCTCCCTTTCTCTCCCTGTTCGCTTGGACTTATTTTTTTTTTTCGCCGAAATTTCGCCCCGCGTCGCTTATTAATAGTGAATTTCTCGGACGGAAACACCTGCATCATCGTCCGTCACAGCCTGACCACGGGCGGTCGATACAACCGAAAAAGTTCAAACTGGTACCAGAGTTCGGCAGAATTTCATTCGAATTATAGATTAGTGAAAGGTAGTAGTATCGAAGTATCGAAGTATCGCCAACACTATGACCTTTAAATAGTTACTGGGATTAAATAATTGTTTGCCGCGTATCTACTCCAAAAATTGAACTTCCCACGTTTAATCGATCGAAAAAAACGAAACACTTTTTATTAATCTTTTATTCATTATTCGAACCTGTTTATCTAGATAATTAATTTACCCACCTTTAACTAAAACACGCTTTCGCTGACTTGAAATGGATGAATTGAGTACTAGGCGATTATTTTCTGAAGATTCAGTTCTAAATTGCTGCCCTGTCATGGATATAGAGTTTTACTCTGTTTCTGTTCAACCTTCGAACTATCAGTACCTATCGGTTATTATTTAACGAACATAAATAGACACCAGTTCTCGAACAACACTCGCATAATCTTCCCACCATCCTCCCGCTATTCGTGACCCACCATCAGTTCGAAGAACCTCGCGACCTCTCCCGTTGGGAACCATGATCCCCCATTTCCTTAATGCCAGTGATTTCAATCCGTCGCGGGATCGTCACGACAATTTTTCGGGGCATCATTACAGTCCTCTCAAATCAGCAACCGGAATCTTTGTATAAAAAAAAACATCCCCAACAACAATTTCGAAGCATTTTTAGCTCGAAAAAGCAAGCGTATATCCACCGATCGTTCGTCGAAATCGGTTACGAAATTTCAATGTGTGCTACACTTGGCTTTAGAGGACTCGCACAATTTCACCGAGGGAGAGCGAACTGTCTGCGATTATGAACGCTGCCAGGAACCCGAACAAACCATCAGCGTTGCCTCGGAATCGAACACAATCATTCCACGCGTCTGTCACCGAGAGACAAAGACAACAATTAAATTGTTCAACAGCGGCGACGTCGATCACGTCGAGAGAGAGATAGGGTTCGCGCGGAGTTTCAGCTTTTCTTCGATTACTACGGATTGTTTCCATTCGAGACAAAACACACAGTCCCTCCATTCACCTATCCGAACCGAGGCCTCAGAAAGCCTCCCTCAGCGGCGGTGGTGTATGTCTCTCGGCTTTTGTTGCTCGATAACGCACGCGCCTCGGTAATTCCTAATTGGCTGCGCGTTCGGTCTGACGGAAAAGGGACAGAAAGGAAGGGCACAGGGAGGATGATAAACGGAGGACGGATACGAGCGTGTTGTTCGAATAATCGGTACCCAACGGGGTTGACTACTCGCCGCGACAACAACACTTTCCGCTGGAGAGGGAGAAAAAAAACGGCTTGGCAAAGCGCAGAAACCACCCTCGGAATTCTTCCGGTGAGAGGCGTAAGGCGTTAACCATCCCAACCCTATTCTCGTCAATTCTCTCTCTCTCTCTCTCTTTTGGTTCACCTCAAGGATCAGAACCGAGTCGATATTCCCAGGATAATGATGATATTCCGATGATGTTCATACATGAGTATACAATGACTAACTTAGTCTAAATTAGGGGTCGAAACTTTTATGCAATTTCTATTTATACACTCTCCATGTCATTACTTTTTATCATACTTTCGAGATAAATTTTTGTCAATTTTAAAATAACATTGACATTTTGACAAATAATTTAGTCAAACTGGAGTGATAGCCTTTCATGAACAAAAACCATTCGAAGAGAAGAAAATGCTCATTAACAAGATTCCAAGGGGCAAACCTTGTATTTTTTCATTCGACAATAGAAACGTGGTAGGTAAGCTCTGGGAAAATTCGAACGTTCCCAGACAGATACACACACCATTCGTGGAAACGGTCGTCGGGTTGTAAAAGGGGTGAACAAACGTCCCTGGGAAATCCTGTGCCGCTAACGTTGCGTCATTTTATTCCGAGGTAATGAGCAGCGTTGGCGGAGAAGGTTATGTATTAAAGAAACGAAGGAGGCCCTAGCCTCGATGTTTTCAGGGTAGCCAGGTAAAGGTGTAAGGGAGAAAGAGAGATAAATAGAAGGAGATGGAAGAGGAGGAGAAAGAGGAGGAGAGGCATCGGAGGCATCTCCCGCGGGAGTCGGCGGCCTCCTCGGGGATACAACCTCGTTCCGAGCTCCTCCAAGCCGGTTTTACCTTCGAGTATAAAGCGCGCGCAAGTACACTTGGCGAAAGGTAACCTGAAATAATAATCGGGCAGCGCAGGGTGGAGCGGATAAAAGTCGGATCTCCCGCCTGACTCCTCGGGGATGGGTGCGCGCCCGCGAAAAAGGAGCAAATCTTTCGAGCTTACGTAACTGCCACCACCGTTCGTGAAATTTTTCGACAGCAGAGAAAGATCACTCTTGGAGTCAGGAAACGAAAATGTAATGAAACTTTTTAATAGGTTCTATTTAACTACTTGCCATCCCCTACTGTCAATCTAACAAAGGAAATTCTCTGCTTTAGAAGAAGACATTGCTTACAACTACTGTATTAAGTTTGGCATCCCCAATCGAACACAATGTCACGACATAATTCGTACACAGAATTTTCCAACATGAAAAGGACAAATCCTCGAGAGATGTGGGTGGTCGATTCCCGAAGAATATTATACTCTGGACTGCATATAAAGCTGTTCGTGGAAAATGTTCCCGTCGGCTCCGAGCGTTTATTTCGGGTGTTCCCGTGAATCGATGTAATTCGTTTAATTGAGATTCACTGCGTACGTTTCGGAGGCTGGAAAATCGCGTTGCAAGTGGACAATTTTTTTTTCGGCTAATATCCAATTCATTGTCCTGTGCATACTTTTTTTTTTGTTTCGTTCACGCGTGATTTCGTAGAAACGAGCTGACGCGCTGCGTCGTGGTTTTGCGGAATACCAACAAAAACCGAAGAGTGTGCGATGGATATTTGATGACGTACTATTGGGAAAACTATCCCCCCGTCTCTATATCGTTAAGATACCATTGTTCCACGCGCGCGTGTGTGTACTTTGGACGCGATATATCGACATAATAAGCAGGATCGGGATCACCATTGCCACCTGAGCCCCTATTGCCATTCTGAAAGGAATTGCCGCGGCTGGTACTTCTTCTCCATCTCCCACCCCCTATACGGTATGCACGGAGACGCGACGAAATTCCGACCGGAAACAACAGCCCCGTCCGTGAAATTTAACGCGACGACCGAACGGAAAGCTGTGTCGTTCCACGTTGCAATTCTCATACTTCGCTTCGATAATTACCATCCGTTCCCCTCTGTTCAAATTTCATTAAAGAAAATATATACAGAAGACTGGTTTCGTTGGAACGAAATATAAAACATCTGTGAGGGGAAACAAATTGTCCACAGAGTGAGCTGCATGGAAGATTTCAGTGACAATTTGGTCGAAAAGTCAACTTTCTTATATCGAAAAATTGGAATATTTTCAGCACACTTTCCTCTACACAATCATCCAACAATCATTTCCACCCTCAGCTGCCTGTGTGACTTGTCCTATCAATTTCCCAGAAGTATTAATACAAACTGGTAAACCGAAATAAACATATCACTATCCGAAATTCAGCGAGCGTACGTATTCTCGAACCCCGCGGATCGTTCGGGAGAAATTCATTTTCTCGTGGAAAAATGTACGACCCTGTCAGCAATCCCAGTCATCGCGTGGAAAACGAGCCGAGTCATCGGTACAGTCGCCAGCCGATGTTCTGTACGGGACACGCAACATCTCGAAGTATCCTTCGGGACTTGCAGGAATCCCATATTCATAGAGTAGTCTAAGGTGGGTCTGGTTGTGCTTCTCGAGCGGCCCCGCGAACAATGACGATGCGTCTGAACGCATTGTTGCGTCGCACGGGTAGTGCAAGGCAACGTCCCGCGAGAACTGATAAAAGTAATGCACCAGAATGCACCACCACCCTCCTTCGACCATACGAGCCCCTCCCCCGCCTCGATTCTTGGCCCATTGTTGCGTGCATAACGACGGTTGCCTGGCAGCAATACTTCATTGTGCCCGAGTATTCGAAAGCAGCCCCGAAGATTCGCGAAAATAGATCTCCGAACACAGGGCTGAGAATGTAACCGTTGTGTGTTGTTGATGCTTTCTAACTGGCTCGCCGAGGAACAGCGCGTGCCCTACGGTCGCTAATTTTTCGCAGTACAACACTATATGACAATTATGTATATTGTTCGACTCACCCTCGGAGTGACGGCTGAACGCTCGCTGCAGCTCCTCCTCCTCTTCCTCCTCCTCGTCGTCCTCTGCAATCAAAAGATTGGATTTGCTTGGGATCGGAGAAATTTCAAAGAATGTAGAGGGGGAGTGAAAAAACGCACAAGAAGAAAACAGGCGTTTAATTCACGAGAGCAGATTTACGGAAACATTTGATAACGGATAAAGTATTTAGTAACACTCACGCTTAATTCCCGTTGTTCCATTATTATCCTGCTCGGTTACCTCCAGGACATTCTGCTCGTTCCCGTCCTCCTCCCACTCCTCGTCTCCTGCGGAGAGAGAGACAAGCGACCATTAATTCCATTCCATTTGCATATCACCGGCCCAAGAATAAAAATCTGTGGTATTTCCGAGGAAAAACAAGCGAAAACAAGCGTCCCGCGTCTCCCCCACCCGACCAAGCGTCTGTTTCTCGAGAACATGAATATGGATTTCGAGTAACGCGAGAACAGACACACACAAACACACACCCCGAGACGACGATTGATAATAAGCTCTTTCGCTGTCTGAAAAGTTGGACTGTATCCCGAAAAAAATGCATTATTTAATTTAATTTACTACCATTAACGGGAATGAACCTTTTTATACGAAAGTTTAACAATATCATCGCATATCACCGTTTTGTTTACCGTGTAACCAGGAAAATGTATACGGGAATGTATAGGGGAGGGAAAAAAAAATCCGCATTCGACACCTTCGAAAACGCTGGCAATCGGCCGGAGTGAAAAGTTCGTCGAATAGGACAGAAGCGAGAGAGATCGAACAGCTTGCGAGTCAGAAGGGATAGCGTGCGCCGGAGGAAGAGGAGAGACCCGAGAGGGAGAAGGGGATGGTGGATGCACGCGAAATAACAAACGACCTGTTGGCCACGTGGACAGGGGTGTAATTTTTTAAGTTTAATTTTGTGGTCCCACGTGACAAACGGATGGCTGTACTATACGGCAGCGCCACTGTCAGTGCGCTCCGCGGGTATATTTCATCCCGAAAACACGGCTCGTCGTTTCGCTTTTTGATGATATACAACAACCGAAAGCGGTTCGGTTCTTCGGGGGTAAATCGTGCCTGACGCAACACGGTATAACTCGATACGCTTCACGCGATATCGACCAACGCACCCTTTAGAACGCGATTTTAAAACCTCTGTTAACATTGCTCACAGCCGTGCTCGGTTAATTCTCATTTCTACTTGATCAAATTTTCACTGCGGCGCCTGAAATAGGTTCTGCGAGCGCTAACGAAATCTGATTCGGAGTAAAAAAAAGGTTGTTCCACGGCAAAAGGGTTATAGGGTGAACGCACCGATGAATGAACACTTAAGAGATTTTGTGACTGTTATAGTCGAAATTAATAAATATGTGGCAGAGGAAAATTGAACATTTCAACGGTATATGGAATTTAAAAAATGGGAAAAATGTTATTGATTAAATTGAGAAGAAGAAAATACAAATTTCACCAGTGAACGAACAATATTAAGTAAATGAACATTTCTAAGCAGCGACGCGAAAATTGTTTGAATATGAAACAAAGAATAGAAAAAAATCAATGTTTAATCATTTGCTTAAACAACGCTTGCAGGATACTGACCACTTAATACCATTAAAATTACGTACAAAATACTTTCCTGCGTTTCGCCAATTAAGAAAGATATTCGGGAAGGGGGGTCACGCTTAAACGGAACACTCTTATCTCTAAAGTTAAAAGGAAACAGGCGTAAAGAGGCCCGCGGCAAAGGGGCAGAGAGGTTCGCCACGAAAACGGCAGCTATACGTTTCTCGTGGATGGTAATCGCGAAAGTTTGATGAAGCTCCTCCGCCGAGAAGAGTCCTACGAGCATCGACTTTATTGGAAAGCCTTCGGAGAGAGCCAGCTGAACGTCCTCCCATCGACACAGAGAGCATTAGCCTGCAGAGACGCGAAACAACGAGCGCATCACGGCGAGAGGCAAGGGATGGAGAAGAAGAAGAGCCGAGACGGCTCTTAAATATTCCAAGAAGACATCAGCCGAGGGCACCGCTGGCAACCACCACCCTTCGATTGAACCTTCGCACCCTCCGCCGTCCTGTCAGCTGTCACGGCTTCTGTCGAGTGCGTCTTGCCACTGACGATACCGAAACGCGGTGGTTAATGGTTCATCCATCATCGAGAATTCCAGCCGGCGAGGAAGACTTTTCCGTCGGTTCCACCTTGTCCCGCTAATTGCTGTTGAACTTCTCCGTCCACCCACCCCGCCCCACGAAACGTTCGACCGCGTGTCTCTCGGCTTCTATTGTCGTCGAAGGGAATTCTTTCGAAGATCTCCTCCGACTCAACGGTGGAAATTCTTCCCGAACGTTATTCGCGGATCGAATAGATATTGATAGAGAATCGAACGAATCTCGTGCGGGAACATTAGGAGAGATCGCGGCCCAACAAATTAAGATCCACGTCGGGAATCCAAGAGTCAAAACCCAATTTCTCGGTCCATAGGGTTAACACCCGGGGCCATAGAATACGTAGTGGCTGCTTCGTATGCATCTCGTACCGCTCTCTGGCGACTCGATCTATCGTAAATACTGTAAACAATTCGGCGGTGAGGCAGAATAGCCCGGTCGGACAATAATCGTAAAGGTAAGGGGATTGGCTATCATCTCTCGGGTAGAGCAGCCCGGTGTGTGGCCCACGTGTAGCTTTATATGGCTGTGCACCTGTGTTTATGTACGATATGAACGTAAGAAGAGGCGCACGTAATACGGTCTCCTGGCTTGGACTAGGCGTGCAGGCTGTTCTTCCCAGCACAAAGACGCCTTCGGTGTAAGCTCTCTCGAAAATACAGTTCGCAATCTCGGCCCACCTACTCCCCCCACCGTCCTGGACCCGCGGTAACGTTAAACGGACGTATTATTATAACCCACGTGCACCCTCGACCGGGGGGATAACTGCATATTGCGGCTTAACCCCGTACGTTGTACTTTCGATAACGCTTCGCAGATACATTTGTAACGACGCGTGACATAGGTGACTGTAAAACTGCGCTGGAGGGCACCTTTTCCAGATGAAGAAACTCGTGGACGATCGTTCGGGTCGAGAGGGATAAATTTGTACAGGGAAATATGGTAGTTTCTATCCTGGACCATTTTGGATTTCTGATTGTGTACGATTACTTCAGCTGGCATGGAGATTTTTGGAAAGTCCTCGTTTAGAACTACGATGATTCGATATATGTAAAAGGGTGGGGTAGACCTGGTTCTCTGGTTAATGCTAGCGAAACGTATTGTTATAAGCCAATCTATATGCGCGAAGATGATAACTGCATATTGAGGATAAATCCTCCCCACAAGAGGACCACACAGGATCTCTCCTGGAAAAGGGTGTTTCGAGACGCGACATGCATGGAACGCAAGGAATTTTCTCTCAGTATGGTGTGTACGTCACGACATAAATCCAACACAATCCGATTAGTAGATTTAAGAAGAAAATTCGCCACATTCCTTACACTACCCACCCTAATTTATCTTTCGGAATCGCAGAGCATCCCCCAACAAACAGGGGTCAACGAGAACAGCCAAAGTGACTTCTATACGAAAAGAATGAATATAGACAAACGAAAGGAAGCAAATGGTATCCTAGTGTCCTCGGAGAACCAGCAGAACCGATTCTCCAGCTACAGTAAATCCTCGAGGAGTGTCCTCGGCACTGACACGAGGAGAGGTCCCCAGGTGTAATGCTGACTTTTTAACAAGGTTCAGCAAAGTTTCGACTTCTAAAACTAATGATATTTCTTTCAGCTGCACATGGCCATTAGTTTATGAAATATTTAATGTTCAATGGGGTGCCTTTGTACGCTTATCGAGGATTTACTGTACTTCGACGAACCCCCAAAAGATGTCCTATGATCATTATTTGGTGATCGTTCGTTCGATCGATCGAGATCGATTCATGGACGAAATATTCGATCGGAACTCGATGGTGTCGCACCAAAGTTATCCGCAATATCCCGGGTGTGTGCTCCAGGTACCGTGTCGGAGCCAGAGGGTATTCGTCGGGCGGATGCCAGGGTCTCGCGGGAGTCTGAGCCCGCGTCAGAGCTGGCCGGGGTAGATTCCCACGGGAATCAGCTCGACTTCCCTTGTAGCAGCCACCCAGCCAGCCAGCCACCGCAGCAGAGCAGCCCTTCCCCAATGGCTGCTGCTCGCTGCTAGCTCGCTAGCTCCGCTGTCTGGCTGCCTGTCACGAGTCCAAGACGTACGGCTGGCTGCAACCGGGGAGCCAGAGATAGCAGTCGCTCCGGATAACCCGCAGGGCGCTCCTTTATTCACGGCGTATCGATTAATGACTCGAAACCCTGCCAGCTTCTCCTAACCGCTGCTGCCTCTCTCTATCCTCGAGCCTCTCTCCGGGATGGGAACGTCTCCGGGGCCTGCTACCTCCACGACCTGCCCACGATCCCCCCGGAGATATCGTTAGCGAGATTATCGTAACCGGTAATCGGGAGTAACCGTTCCCTGTCTTCCTTCGAGGCATCGTAACGAGTTGACCCTGTGTCCATACGATAGTTATGGCCTGGAGGAACTACAGTAAATTCTCGATGAGTGTTCCAAGGCAGCCTCCCCATTGAACATTAAATATTTCACAAACTAATGGCCGTATGAGGCTGAAACAAATACCACTGGCTTCAGAATTCCAATCACTGTGTTAAATCTCATTATCAAAGTCGACACGAAGTCGAGAAGACTTCGAACACTCATCAAGGATTTACTGTAGTACCAAATTTTTCCTTTACTATAAATTCATTCGTAGCTATACAAGACGTATCAGTACCCTCCACAATGCCCCAAAGACGGGCATTGCACTGAAGGGCCTGGACACTATAGTTCCCAAGCGGCCGCGAGATTCGCCCATGTTGGGAACTACAGTTCCCACCCGTGCCAAACATCTTAAGGATCATTTAAGTGGATTGTTCCAAGTCGTTTCTTCTGGATCAAAGTCACGCCCCCGCAGTGCCATGAATTCGAAATCAAGTTATTCGTATTATTTATCTAGTCAAATTACAGAAGTCACTTTTGCTGTTTACGCGCAATTCACAAAGATAAATTAAGGTGAACAGAGTAACGATTAGCGAATTATCTTCTTAAATCTACCAACACGAGCAAACACTCATCGAAAATTCGCTGTACAAACGGCCGCGAACGCGTCGTCGTCATCTGGCTGACCTTTTTATCGCAATGCCAGGCTCGCAACAAAGTCAAAGTGGGAACACGACGGGAGAGGTCAAACGGGGCGCAACTGGTGC